TGTGTACCGATTTGAATTCATTGTTTTTAAAAAAAAAAAAAAAAAAAGTAGAATAGAAAGAATGAATGAGATCCGTGGGGGCGAGGGTAAAGCAAATGCGTGGCGAGCGGAGCGGGCGCATTTTGAGATGGAATCCAAAATGGGCACTCAAAATAATAATCCTCTACAGGTGTCGCACCGTATAACAACCGTGGTCCCTTCTCCGTTTTGTAGCATTTAGTTTCAATTTTTATTTAAAAAAAAAAAACATTGAAAATTGGAAGAGAATTGGATTCACCTCTCTTCTCTCTCTCTCTCTATCGTATTTAAAAAATTGATAGTAAATAAAGAAAAAAGAGAAAGCGTGGGGTAAGATTCCTGCCACACGAACAATAAATAAATAAATAAATAATTTATATATATATATATAGCTCAAATTCAAAATTCAAATGCCCCGAAGTTGAATCAAATTAATAGCTATGAATATGCAACCATGCTCCTAACTTCACTTTCACGTGCCTCGAACCGTAAATTTAGACTTTTCGAGAGATGAGAGACATAAACTACATATTCTAATACTTCTAATGAATCATAACATTATAGTTTATCGTAGGTTAGTTTGAGATAGAGCTAACCCTTATCTTGTTCAGCCACCTAATTAGCAAACTGCTAACCTAGTCAAGGTCGATGCCTAAATCCTTCTCTCCCCTAGGCTCGTAGCTTGGGCTTAGAATTTATCGGACTTATTGATTACAATTTATTTTCTGAAAAAAGAAAAAAATGTCTCCATTTTAACAATAATAAATTACGTTGTCTAATGAAAAATATTAAGTAATCAAACTCTTTTTGTTTTATTTTTGAAGGGAATAACTTTGTTTAATTATTTTTCTGTAATTTAAAAAATAACTATTGCAATATACCTAGAAACCACAATGACATTAAAAAAACAAAATAAACAAACTAAACTATTGTTTTATTTAAAAAAGAATAACAGTAGGTATTTTTGCTCACTTATTGTCCACTCAATTTAATAATAGGACAGAGAAGCTTTATTCCCCATATTTTCCATCCAATAGGCGTGACTAAGCATAAGATATTTTAATTAAATTCCATAAATCAAATTAACCTCCTATTTTTATTTAATTAAATTATATAAATATAGTTTCAGTAATATCCTTTAATTAAAAAAAAAAACCTTAGCCGTTTAAAATATTTTAAAATTACGACATGTAATTTATGTGTTACATAGGTTTTATAGAGTTATCGTATGTTTTTTATATGCATTTTATGTTTGTGTATTATTTAAAATTATTTTGCTACCTGGGGGCTACGTTTCATAAATAGAGGGTAAAATTAAGCGTATTTGCGAAATAATAAAATAATGGGTGTCAATAAATGACCTTCTGATTTGGTGATATTACCGAATCTGCCACGAGACTGTAGACCGTCAATGTGCGGAAAATTTGAATCTTTTCTTGACGTTTTCCACCTCTCTGTCTCTCTGTCTTTGTTTCTTTGTCCAATTTTTCTCAGCTCGGCCAATTGAATACCGCGCACTACCAAGTTCTGCTAACCCCACTCTCATCATTAGCGCGTATTCTTCACATTCCAAAACTGTTGCTATTTTTTTTTTTTTTTTTAACGTTATATATTAATTATTGAGTTTTGCATTTAAAAAAACCGTTGGTTTAATACCTGAATTATTAGAATCTGTCGTATTGGTTCTTATTTTCAGTAAAATAATTATGATATTCTAAAAAATATCATATTAATTTTTGCATTCCTACAATATAATTTATTTATTCATTTTCAAGTATTTTTATAAGTAAAAAACTATCCTATAAATTAATAAATATAAGACTGCATAAATTAAATAAATTTAATTTTAAAGTTTTTGTTATTAAAAAGTTTGCTTTACTAACATGAGTAGTATCTATCAATTATTTTATGTATCATATCTTTAAAACTATTTTCATTTATATATGAGGTCAATTAATTTAAGTATATATATTTTTATTCAAGTGTCACATTAATTTTTGTTGTTATTTTTATTAATTATTGAATTAATAAATAATACGACAAAAATATATATATTGATGTCTAACATGTTTCTTTTAAATTAAAAATGACAAGAGAGTTGTTTGGAAAGTTTAATGAAATCTGCACAAAGCCAAGATTTTAATACGTCTAAATATTGTGGAATAAAATAATATTTTTTTAAAAATCCAAACCAATATAAATTATAAAGCTTCTTTTTCTTAATAATAATAATAAAAAAAAAAAAACCCATAAAAGCGGTGTTATGAATTGGGACCCAAATGCTTGATATTATTAAGGTAGAAAGTTGACAATCATTAATTTATTGTATTTATTTTCAAAATAATTTGAAGTTTATTCATTTATAAAAAAAAATTATTTAGGCGGATGACCCTAACTTAGGTCTAATTTTAATAAAATACTCAGTCTTCCAGTTACGAAGGGGTAAGATTTCTGTTTATTTGCATTAAAATATAGCCTTTTCGGAGTAATTATGAATCAAGTATTAATTACTTAATTAATGATTATTATAATTGGTAACCCTCAAATTAAAAACTAATTAATGCTTGTCGACCACTGTTATAAGTAACGATGGAAGTTATGGACATCTCTAGAATTTCATTATTTATAAATATGATTTTTAATAGTTTGTTTTTCAGTATTAAAAAAATAAAAAATAAAAATAAGGGGAAAAGGGGCGTGGAAAGAAGGCGCGTTGTTGATGATGAATATGAATGATTGAAATTTGAAGGTAAGGCAGTAAAAAGAAAGTCCCCTCCAAAACGTTTCTTACCAAACCATGAACCAGACGGCGAAGGCAGAGGCGGAGGCAGAGGCAGAGGCGGAGACAGTAAGAAATAAGAACATCACTTTCTCTCTCATCTACCCCACTCACCACGCCTCTGCTTCTTTCTCAACACCTTCCTTCCCCTTTTTCTCTCTCTAACTCTCTGTGAAACCTCTTCACTGATCACAACCCTTCAATGGAATCCTCTTCAGTTTTACAAGAAAACCCATGTCCTTCTTCTTCTTCTCTCCTTCCTTCTCCAAGTAGCCGCATGACTCACAGTACTACCAGCAGTAGCAGCACCAGCTATGGACTCCAACAACTCATGCCTCCACCGCATCACTTGCACTCGCCCAAACCCATCACTCGATCCGAATCTGTTAACCCTTACCCCACTACCTTTGTTCAAGCTGATACCTCTTCTTTCAAGCAAGTAGTTCAAATGCTCACTGGATCCCCTGAAACCGCCAAGCAAGCCTCTGTTAACCCTGCTGCTGCGCCTTCCAACTCTGATTCTGTGTCCAAAACGCACATTCCGCCTATTAAATCTTTACCCAAAAGGCAGCAATCTGGATTCAAGCTCTACGAGCGTAGGAACTCTATGAATAAACTTAAAATTAACCCGGTGTTTCCCGTTTTCGGTTCCACTACTCATTCGGGGTTTTCTCCGAGGAAACCTGAAATTCTTTCTCCGAGTATTCTGGACTTTCCGGCGCTCGCTCTCAGTCCTGTCACGCCGCTGATTCCCGACCCGTTTGATCGATCTGGGTTGGCGAATTGTAGCTACTTGAAGAATGGGAATGCTAAGTTGGATGCAGAGGCGGAAGAGAAAGCGATTAAAGAAAAGGGGTTTTACTTGCATCCATCGCCGACCACCACTCCTCGTGACTACGAGCCTCGGCTGTTGCCACTGTTCCCAATGACATCTCCTAGAGTGCCAGGTTCATCATCCATTTCATGAATTGCTCTTTTCTTTTCCTCTAAGGATTTTGGGATTTTCAATTTTATATGTTGCTGCTGGGTGATGGCATTTGATGATAATCAAAAGGAGGTGAGAGTGGTAAGGCTTGTAATGATATATTTCAAGAGAGTGATAGATTGTTGCTTCAATTACAAAATTTGATGTTCTGTATCCTTTCTTATGAAAAAAGGAATAAAACTTAGCCCCATTTTCTCCCTTGTTTGTTCCCAGAAGAAAAAACTTAGCCCCAAATTCAATCATGTTTCCCCCTTCCTTAAGATTAAGGTTCTATCGGATTCTTTTTCCTTCAAACCGACGACAGTTTACAAACAACTTTAGGGATGAGCTATAATCCCTTTCCATATCTGAAAATTTGTTTAGCCGATCGGTTATGATTACCATTATTACTCCTCGTCATGTAGTCAACACTCACCACTGAATAAACGCAATATAAATACGAAGACTATGATTTTGGCATTGGCAAAGCAATTAGTGTGGTGCAGGTGAATGAGGAAAAAGGAAGGGTGGTGTGGGGGAGGGTTATGAAAAGCGGCCTCGACCCTGCTCTAACTTTCAACGATAGGAGTAAAAGCTGGGCGTGGAATCTTGACCTTTTGTTACCTTTTGTGTTGTATCTTGTAAGCTTTTGTCATTGGTAACTTTCTTTTTGCTCTCTTTTTTCCTCTGTGCTCCATATTCCATGTTTGAGGCCTGAAGTAACTTGTGATCATTTATCCTGATAGGATTAGAAAATTGATTCTGGAAGAAGATTTAGGTGAGATGGAAGTGAATCTGGTCAACACTTTTTGTTGAACAATAGCAATCTTATCATCCATCTTAGTTTAGGGCAGCTTTCAAAGTAGGAAGGAAGCATCCATGATGAGTTATTCTCTAGAACAGGACATTACAACTATTATAAAACGAGGAGTTTCCCTGTCAGAAAAGGTACTCAAATGGGGACGTTGAAGCTGGAACAATAAATAGGGCTGTGTTTAGTGATGACCTGAGTAGAGTTTGCAGGCATGGTAGGGATATTTTGTTCTTAACCCTTATGGTGGCCTACTTGGTTGACACTGAACAATCCGCCGAAACAAGCTCAAAGTAAATGGGGACACGGGAGGGAAAGGAAGTGGGAGTTGTGATGAAGAAAGAGAAAGGGAGGCGGAAAGCCAGAAAACATGGTGCTCTTTTTCAGTGATGTTTGTTTGTTTGTTTGTTTGTTTGGCTGATTGTTTTTATATGGATAGTATAGTGTGGTGTTTCTTGTTGTGGGTTTGCTTTTTGGTATACTTTTTGACACACTCCTATATGTTGGTGGGTGTCATTAATTGCAATCTTGAAACTTTTCTCTAACTGCTATCACTCCCTGCCTCTTAAAACGACCCTACTCCCTACCCTTGTCAAGAAGGGTCAACTTCTTTACTTCAACATCTCCCTCATGTCTTTTTGCCTTTAGAATCTACCAAAATGGTCTTATATCGATGAAGATGTTAGTTCGAAACAGGTTCACCCACAAAAACCTTGTGACAACTTCTCCTTCCTCTAAATGATAAGGTTCAATGGACTTCTCACGACGTCCCAAGCAGCAAACCGCTCACGTCGTTGCAATTCGAACGCTTCACCATTCATGGACGGTGTGTACAAAAGAGAAAAGTGGGGGAATGGTGGTGGTGGGGATGGTGAAGTGAAGTAAAGTAAGAGAGGGGGATGATGATTGATGTGTTGTTGTTGAAAAGGAATGGAATACGCAATGGATGGGGAATTGATGATATAAAGGCATTCATTCTCCCTCTCAAAGGCTTTGAGCGTTGGCATAGATTCCCACTAACAATGTCCCACCCAACCAAACGCATCTTTTTTGAATTTCTGCTCTTTATTTATTGCCAACCACATCATAATCCCCTTTCCTCTTATTACCAGTTTATGCTCAAATATCTGCTTACACCATCCTTTCTATCTCTCTCCTGTTCTTGTTTCTTCTGTTTAATCTGCATTCCCCGTTTTTAGGGCATTGTATATTGGAGAATTCTAATTTCCCAGTAAATTAATTGAATAATTATGTAAATATTGCAGGGTTTATGATTCCCAAGATAATTAAAGTAACGTAATATGCAATCTTAGAATAGTAGTGAGAGTGTGGAAATGGTGTTTAAATCTCATACAGGCTAGCATCATCATAAAGTTTGAAATGAAAATACCTCATCTTCGTCATTAATGCATTCACGGACGAAGCCAGGTGTGTCGGAGGAGGCGTGGCACAGTCGGCATGAGAGAGATCCCAAATGCCGGCGGTCGTTGGAGGACGACGAATGCGCAGGGGCAGGCGCAGCCATGTGCAGAAGGAATAGAAGCTTCATTTCTATTGCAGAGGAAAGGAGAGCATTAACTGTGAATTTAATTGGAGGGTGGACCACTGGGTCGCTGGGCCTGATCACAACAAATTGGGCCTGTTTTGAGGCCCAAAAACACAGAACGTGACCAGAAATAGAGAATTAAATTGGGAATGGATGAAGTCTATATACATACATGAATGATTTTCAAAGGTAATTTTAATAAATGGTCGAAATTGTTCACTTAACGCAGTTTAGGAACTCAATTGATATCATAATAAGTCTAATATCAAGTATCATAGTTCTAAATTGATGTCATTAATATAATTTTTTTTTTCTTAAGATACTACATGACCAGCTAGCCCATTTAGTTCAACAAAATGTAAGTTGGGTTGGGCCGGAAACAAAGAGCCCAAACTCGGTTTTTGCCCATTCCCAAATCCAAAGAATTTGAGTCTAAAACTAATCTAAGCCCAAGCCCAATAAGACCTAAAACTTACACGTCTGGAAATGGGTTGAGTTTTTGGAAAATTAAAAATTTAATCCAAATTGTGAGTTGTCATTTTTTTAAATGGGTCAACTCGGTTAACTTAAAAGAGTCGATTAAGAATATATAACGAATGTTTTGTGACTTATAAATATTTAATATTTAAATTTTATAAAAATTTGATTATTAATATAATATATAGGGCAGATAAATATATATTTTTTTTTAATAATTAAAGAATAAAAAACCAGATATGAATTGGTTGTGAACTTTATTTGGTTGTTCGGGTCACCCATTCAACCGAGCATCGAACCCATATACATTCTTCTAAAATTTCATTGGATCAAAAGATGAAACTCAACCATTGATTTCTCTCAGAATCTATTAGTGGGAAATAAATCCACGAGAAAGTGCTAGAATAAGCTGAAACCAGAAAAATGAGAATAATAAATGAGAAGAGAATCCCATTCACGATCTGTGGACCCTTCTCACTCTACGGCTATAGATGTAGCCTCCATCATCTCCATCATCACCTGGGCCCCATTCTCCCGTTACAGCTACTGATCTTTGAGAGTGTCGTTTGTTTCAATCCAACGGCTATAGATGTAGAGCTCACCATAAACACTCCACCACAGAGTACACAATCAATACCCAGTGATGATTGTACCTAATAACCACCACGTAGACCACCTAGGCATCAATTAGGCGTTTTTACTCTCTTGGGATTTTTTCCCTTCATTTTCCATTTTCTCTCTCTTCTACGTGTTGAGTTTTTTTTTAAGATTTAATTCATGAAAAAACTTAAATTTATTGTTGAATAGTAAAAAGTAGTACTTTGACTGTGTTTATTGTGCATTTGATTCAGAGCATTTAAAGATACGGAATTTCCCTTCAAACTCCACCACCGCAGAAGCCATGTTAGGCTGTTTGCCAATTCCCATAATGGATTTCATATCAGATTTCTAAGTTTTGAGAATGCCCAGATGATCCTCCCTGCATTTGATACAAACCCCATTAAAGAGGACACAACTTTGTCCAAAATCAGCATAATTTAGCTTTGTTTTGAGCTCCAAAACAAATCCTACTTCATTTGGCTTGGTTTACAAGAGTGTTTGGCCACTGCCACTTATTCTTCATTTCCTTTATGAACTTTTCTATGAACAACAAAAATATAATCCCAATCCCACTTGATATCTAAAATTTTGTTTTTGATTTTGTTTTTCATGGTCACCCTTTTGCTTTCTCTCTTCTTTTCTTATTATTTTGCTTTCACCCTTTGCTTTCTACGCTTCTTACGTACCTATAGCTTTCTGTTCTCCGTCTCTGTCTATCCTCCAAGTGTGCACTTTTGGGTGGATAATTTGTTTTGGTCTCTGCTTCAAATATATTTGCTCTGATTCTTTTAATGGCGATGGAGGTTTGTCAAAGCTTTTGATGCCTACTTCTTGCTTCTCTCCTCAGGTGCCCTTTCCTCTTCACTATCTCTATTTTTTTCCCCTAATTTCTACTATCCCTTTTTACTTTTCTCTCTTTTGCTTCACTTCATGTGGGGTTCCTCCAAATCTTTCTTTTCTGGTGTCTGATGCACTCATCTTCTTGTTCTTCAAAGTTGGTGTTCGATTTTAGGGAACACCCTTTAAACCAATCACACCCAATAGCCATGGATTGTGAAACTTGTAAGCCTGCGTGCTTGGTTTACTGATTTTACTCTTCAAACAGTTCAATTCTTCACCTGGGCTTCAATTTTGGCTCCTCTCAAGTTATTTTCTCGTGCTAATTTTGGGATGTTTCTTCATTTTGTTCCCAAATTTCTCTTTGCAGCACTTCACCATTGATTTTCCTTTGTTCTTTTTGGCTCTACCCCTTGTTGAAATGATGTCTTTTAACATCAGATTTTGGAGTTTTTCTCGTTGAAGATCACTTATTTGATTATTTGTTTAGATGTTAGTATCTAATTAAATCTAGATTTAATTTAGTTGATTTGATTTAATTTTTTTTTTTTTCCTCCAGATTTTTAGGAATATCTTTTTATATTCTTATATACAGAGCCTTCTGGCTTTCATAATACAATCTTCTCATCAACCATTCAATCACTCAATCATCTGTGTACCTTTAACTAAGCTGCTCAATTTTAACCATGACTACCACTACAAATCAAAACAGAAAGGAGAAATTGCTTAACCAGGTAATTTGGTGCATAAGTTCTTCTATATTGTTTCTTATGCAAATTATCACTCTTTCAAGAATATGAGTGTTCATTTCAGGTTGTAACCTTGGAAAAGCAGTTGACATCATCAATCCTTTCAAAAGGGACATCGCATTCAGATGTCAAAGATCTATACCACAAAGTTTGTTCAATTTACGAGAGAATTTTCATGAGTGAACACGAACAACTAGAGCTTCAAGATGTGGAATATTCTCTGTGGAAGCTTCATTACAAGCTCATCGACGAGTTTCGAAAAAGGATAAAGAGAAGCTCTGCAAATGCAGAGAGCCCAAAGTTGGGGACAACACAAAGTTCTAACAATCATGTTGCAGAATTTAGATTGTTTCTATTGGAAGCAACAAAATTCTACCAAAAACTGATATTGAAAATCAGAGAATATTGTGGGGTTCCAATAGAAGGCTTGTTGTATAAAGCATTTGATGTCTCGAAAGGTATCGATCCGAAGAACAAGAAAAAGACATGTCAATTCTTGTGTCACCGTCTTTTGGTTTGCCTTGGGGATCTTGCTAGGTACATGGAACAACATGAAAAACCAGATGTTCATTCCCACAAGTGGTTAGCTGCTGCTACTCATTATTTGGAAGCAACAATGGTTTGGCATGATAGTGGAAACCCCCATAATCAGGTAATCTTATAATCTCATGACCTTTCCAACCATGATATCAGATACTATTACTTGTTTTACTCATTTGTTCATGTTTCTTTCCAGTTGGCTGTATTGGCAACATATGTTAACGATCAGTTTCTTGCTATGTATCATTGTGTGAGAAGTTCTGCAGCCAAAGAACCGTTTCCTGATGCTTGGGATAACCTTATTTTACTATTTGAAAGAGTAAGTAATACTCATTTTGTACTCCATTTTACCTTTTGGGTCTTATCCTCTAGGCCTTCTATACATGTTTAACTAAGTGACCCAACAGAATAGGTCATCTCTTCTGCCTTCCCTCTCTAAGGATGGCCAGTTCGATTTCCTAAGACCATCCGAGAAGTGCTGTTTCGAGATGAAATCAAAAGACGATCACGAATCTCTAGAGACACACTTTTTTCCTCTGCTCATCAGAACATTGGGTTTCTTTTTCATAAAATCCAGGTACGTTAGTCGCTCGAACTTTCGGTACGGATTTCACTGTTACATTTTTAGGGGATTTGTCTTATGAACTCTTGTTTCATGCTTTACAGTTTGGAGGAATTTATAAGTACATTTTCATCCATGATGAGATGGCTGGATGAACTCTTGTCTTTAGATGATTCTGAGTTAAATGTTTCATTAGAGTCCTATAAGCTTTTGGATTCAGTGAGAACAGGTCCTTTCCGAGCCATCCAAATAGCTTCTGTGTTCATCTTCATGGTACAGAATCTTTTTAGCAAATTTGATATGAATGATGAGCACCAACTTGAGCTGACTCACTTGGCTTTGGTTGCTACCTTTATTGTCATGGGACGTCTAGTTGAGAGATGTTTGAAGGCGAGCCAATTGAATTCGTGCACTCTTTTACCCGCTGTGCTCGTCTTCGTCGAGTGGTTACCGAACGTTCTTGATGAAGTAGTAAGATATGGTTATGGTGAAAAAAGTAGAAGCTCCATGGCTTACTTTTTTGGTGTTTATGTGAAGCTTTTAGAGAGACTGAGTATTAATACAACTGAGGCAGAGTGTTCTCTCGATGTCCCTCTGTGGGAAGACTATGAGTTAAGAGGCTTCACACCTTTAGCCTTTGCACACGAACCATTGGATTTCTCATCCCACTGGGAACACATGAACAACTTTGAATTGGGAGCAAAACACCGTGCTTACCGCATAATTGTTGTTGCCACCAAAGTGTGCAATATGGCTAATGATTCTCCAAACTGGATAATTTATGATAGGACGTGGAAGGTCTTTTACACAGGAGAACAAGATGAACTGGAAGAGCCAACTCAGGATGTCTGTGAGAAAGATACTCTTCAATCTTTCCCTGTTGAAGATGAAGAAGTCATTCTTTTCGATCCGCTCATGAGGTATAATTCTGCACCAATCTCGATCGTAGGGAGCGACGAAGTTTCACCGAAAAGCAACGAGGCTGAGACGATATCTTCTGATGAATGCTTGAGGCGTGCTACGTCGCTACTTATAGAACAGACACAGGGCCAGAGGGATCCCTTTACTTTTCATACAGATGCAGAAGTACATCAAATATCAGAAGCCTCCATATGTACAGGGCCCCCCTCACTTAGTGCCTGGGTGCTCAACAGGGGTTTTAGTATTAACACTGATAGAGAAAAAGGGACAAATGGTGGTTTGCAGCCCATTGATGAGTTAACTCCGGAGTTTATAAATGGTCGAACCGAGAATTGTGCTTCGAGTCCGAGCTGTGAATCTGGAAAATCGTATCGTTTTCCTCCTCCTCCTCCCCCCTATTCTGTCCCAGCACCATCAGCCCCTTGTTTACCTGATGATGCTGTTTGGTTTAATGGTACCAATGCTACAATCTGTGTTGGCCAAATCTGTAGGGACGTGGACCGAAATGATACTTTGTCAAATGAATATAGTCCCTTGATTACTGGTTTTACGAACATGTGTTCGTCCACGCATCGAATGAGTTCGTCTGAATGGCTTCGCCAATATAGGGAGAATCACAATTTGAATAGGGTGAGTAATCAAGTATTGGCAGTTCCCTGCAATGCCTCTAGAAATGATACTTCAAGGTATGACCATTTGTATCAAATAGGGAATCAGTTGGCTTCTAATCCAACAATCAATATGGAGAGTCCATTTTTCCATCCAGCATTCCCTTCAGCTTACGGCGCAAATGACAACCAAAAACACATGCTCGGCCACGGTTTTGTGTCGCCGCCGCCGCCGCTTCTGCTGCACCTAAAAGATAGAGAATGGAAGCTCCAGAAAGATGCTGCCTATATGGGGAATTGAGGATTTTGTTAGATTTTGATCATCATTCAACATTTGCTGTTTCCAGAAGCCAGAAACTGTCAAATGAAAGAGTTTGGTTTTGTATATAGGCGTATAGAAAGTTGGAAAGAATTTCACCCCTTTGCAGTGAGTTAGTTTCAAGTGAATTTGTATTTATATAATTATCTCACCTCAACATTGAACAAGATTGCTTCATGTCTGATGAGATATTGTATCCTTATTCTTCTGCATTTCATAGAACACACAGCTGAAGAATTCTCTGCCAAAATGTAAGGTTGGTATTGCATCAACCACCTTTGGGATTTGGGATGGTAATTGATGCGTTTATCCATTCAACTATACTCCAGATTCGTTCATAGTTCATAGATTATAAAATATGATATTTTGTTAATAGATCTTCTATAGCAGCATGTTCCTTTTCTACGTTGTTCTGTTTTCTTGAACTTCGTCAGCATGTTCGTGTTGCACAGTCATCCATAGCTCCTGGTTACTGGTCCACCTCGGCACACACTGGCCTCGAGTGCGACATAGACAATATGTCCTTGTAGTTTGCATGGGATCTCACAATTCATCCCCTTGGGATACTATTTGTAACAGCCCAAGTTAGCGCTAACAGATATTGTCCTCACACACTTCTTAAACCAATCCTATCATCAAAATCAAATTGGACAGCACCACAACTTGATGGGGGAGTTATGTGGAGTCATAAATATTGTTGAGGGCACGTCGAGGCTCCAAATGCACCAAAAACGCTTCCCCTTAGCATGCGCCCCGAACTCCCGAAGTCAATACCTTCCCTTCACATCCACGCAACCAAATAGCTTACCAAATACATACCCACATACTCGTTTTGTGAGGTAAAGCTAGAAAATAATGCAAGGGGCTGCAGCTGCGACCAATGAAGAAACCAAACCCACACTGATCCAACCAAACTGCCCTCGCTGCGACTCTTCCAACACCAAGTTCTGTTACTACAATAACTACAGCCTTTCACAGCCGCGTTACTTTTGCAAGTCTTGTCGAAGGTACTGGACTCATGGTGGCACTCTCCGTAACGTCCCCATTGGCGGCGGCTCTAGAAAACAAAAGCGCCCCAAAGCAATACCCTTTTCTTCCCCTTCTCCGGACACCCTCAATGCGCCGCCGTCTCTCGCCCTAGATGCTGGTGGACCTCTTTCCTATTCCGGTGCTGGGTATCACTCTACTCTCAATGAATCGTCTGTGGCTGTGGCTGTGGATGTGGATGTGGGGGCTTATAATACGATGTGGACTACCATCAATTCTTGCTCTGCAGGTAATTACGAAAATTTAAGCTTAGAAACTGAAAATGAATGCTGTAATTTGGTCCAAAATCATCATCATCATGATCATCTGCCTCCCTATGCCCGCCCCCTTTGATTTCTTGTTAGACTGCTTCAAAAAAAAAAAAAAAAAAAAAA